GGGATGTATGAGGGATTTTAATTTGGCTGCAATCAGCTTCACTACATGACTATGAGGTCAATTTTAGATATTTTCTTGTTTGTTCTTGGGATGTGAGGTACTTCAGGGAGCATTAAGATTTCCCCAGTGATCAAAAGAAAGTGAAGGCAACATCATTGTTTGCTGTGACAATAAAAAGCCCTAGAGTCATGTAGCACAGAAATAGATTTGACTTTCTTCACATCACTAGAAGCATTCTGCTATTGGTTTCACAAGTCAGTGGTTCACCTGCACCGAAGACTCAGCTTGAAAGTGTCAGAAAGCTTCAAGCTATTAAAGACACAACTGAACTTTGAGGAAGACAGTAAGTTCAGATATATTTTTTCAGTCATGTGAGAAGGCCATTGTGACACTAGCACAGCTGTTTTGCTGCCACTGCATATTAGTATTGCTGGAATATGCTTTAGCCATACAAAATGTTTCTCTAGCAACAAGTTTTGTGTTTGGGGAAATAAGAAAGGGTGAACCAATTGGATCCTTAGAGAAGCATTAATTGATGTACCCTCTGCAGATACAACATGCATGATGGTGTACAAAAGCACCTGGAATTAATTCTCAACAAAAGACAGTTATAGGGCAGTTTTCCCCAAGTTGCTACTCATCCACTGTCTTAAGAGTACAGCTCTCATCATCCCTGATAATCGAACACAATGGCTGAAACTAATTGTAGCTGTAGCCCAACAATATTTGGAGGCATGTGGTTATGAGGGCTCTATATTACATGGTCAGAGTCAGCAGAATACAGGTGTCATAATCCTGGAGTTTCTTCTTTAAGACTTTGTGTAGATTATGCTTCTGTTCATGTTTCCTTCCGTACATGTTTCCTCCTATCTGCCTATAAAAACCTTGCTGAAAATTATCTTCAGTTATTTTTCACTTCAGTTTACTTTGCTGAAAACCATGACCCATTCAAAACATTGTTCTCATATCTTTTGCTTTTCCAAGAAAGCACCAGCAGAGGCACCTTCCCCACTATGCTTGTGTCCATCTTTTAGTCCCTGGGAGTCTAAAAGAACAAGCAATGCTGACTTCTGTGTTCTTCCCCTCTCCACAGCGTTACCATGATGCAAACAGGAAACAACACGTTGGTGAACAGCTTCCTACTCACAGGGCTAACAGACCTTCGTCAGGTGGAAATTGCCCTCTTTCCTATTTTCTGTGCTGTCTATGCCACCACCCTAGTGGGGAATTTGGGCATGATTCTCTTAATCAGGTCCACCTCACAACTTCACACCCCAATGTACTTCTTACTTGGCAACCTGTCTTTCTTGGACATCTGTTACTCCTCATCCGTCACCCCAAAGTTCCTAAGCAATCTCTTAAAGGAGAAGAAAGTAATTTCTTTTGCAGATTGTTTTACTCAGCTTTTCTTTTATGGTGCATTTGCCACCACTGAGTGTTACCTGCTGGCAGTGATGGCCTATGACCGCTACGTGGCTATCTGCAACCCACTGCTCTACTTAATCACCATGTCCCAAAGAAAGTGCATTGAGCTAGTTGCTCTTTCCTATGTGGCAGGGACAGTAAATGCTTTGGTGCACACTGTTGCTGCATCAAGGCTATCCTTTTGTGGTCCAAACATCATTCATAATTTTTACTGTGAAGTTCCTCCCATTCTGCATCTGTCCTGCTCAGACATTAGTCTCAATGAAATTTTGATGTTCGTCTTTGTTGGGTTCAATATTATAGCAACCACTTCGACTATTCTCTTTTCTTACACTTATGTTCTGGTCACTATTTTAAAGACCCACTGTGCTAGGAGCCGAAGAAAGGCCTTTTCCACTTGCACATCTCACCTCATGGTTGTCACCATTTTTTATGGATTTGGTAGCCTCATGTATGCAAGACCCAGTTCTAGGCAGAACCACCACCTTGACAAAATAGCCTCTGTGTTCTATGTAGTGGTGACTCCCATGCTGAACCCTTTGATCTACAGTCTGAGGAACCAAGAGGTCAGAAGTGCCTTCCAAAAAACCTTGGGAAGGAAAATTGTGTTTTACCAAAGGTTTTTTATAAAATAGATGGTGGCCCCTACTTCCAGGACTTTTGCTTTCCTTACAACATCTCTACATGTTGTAATTTAAGAAAGGGGTGGGCAAGAACTTTGGGCCTGGTTGTTTGACTCATTTATCTTTCTGTGGCCCTAATGTTATTGTTTATTTTAACTTGGAAGGTACGCCACTCTTACAACTTTCCTGTTCTTGTAAAAGTGCCAATAAGTGTGTTGGGTTTGCATTTGTTCGCTTAAACCCGATAAGCACCCATTTGACAGCCCTTACCTCTTATGCTTCTCCCATTATCACTATTTTGAGAATCCGCTCAGCTGAGAGGAAAGGCAGAAAGCCTTCTCCACCTGCTCCTCTCACCTGCTGGCTGTCATCATCCTTTATGGCAGCTTGAACCTTATGTCTCTCCAACCTAATACATCAACAAAGGGAAACAAAGTGGCCTCTCTGCTGTATGCTGTGGTAATCCCCATGCTAAACTTTCTCATCTACAGCTTGAGGAATAAGGAAGTGAAGATTGCTTTGAGACGTGTATTTCCTAAAGATGTCAATGATTTGTATTTAGATAAAACTTTGTTTATGGACTGCTGTGTGATTGCCGCTGTGTAGCTGGCTGATGTTTGACTGGAACACTAACATGTGGGGGGAGGTCATGGTGGAAGCACATCACAGTGAGTCAGAAGCAAGGCCATGAACAGATATTTCCAGGACTACATTCCAATATAACATGTTCCATAACCACCTCATCTGAAAGAACCAAGAGCAGAGTTTAGCATCTGCTCAGTGAAACCTACAAGATTCAAGGGGCATCTTCTTTGAGGAGGAGAACAGCCAAGAAGCTGTAGGGCTCGCTAAACCTCCTGCTGTGTAAATCTAAGTGGTGTGCAGAGACTACTTTATTGTGTTTTCATAATAGTCCCCAAAGCTCTGTTGAGAAGTCAGATTTTCCCCATGTGAGCTCAGTCCCTCTGCCCTGCTCCCAACCACAGGGTTTTAAGCAGCAATTAAACATGCAGTCAAGGTAGAAGGAGACACGTATAGGCAACCTGCGATAGCTCCTCCTGTTCCTCATCTTCACCATCTTACACCCCCGGATTGTTTTGAGGTAGGCCTGTGCTGCCTCAGGATGATCTTACAATGCTGCAGCTATGGGATGATGATGATGATGATTGATTGTTATATGTGCCTTGTTTGGTGTTTCATATTGTACATTGCAAGATTGAGGTGCCATTTGTGAAATTTAAGGTGGAATATGAACTTTAAAATGAAATAAATATATATCACCCTTTATTTATTAGAACCATATATATGAATTCCGATACATTTCAACTTCTACGATATAAATACAATTTCAGTGAATCCTGTGATTTAGAAATCTCACCCAAATGGCCTTTCTGTGCATTATAATCAGATAATGGTGTTCCCACCACCAACCCCCCCCCCCGGCTTACCAGATGGGTGGTCCGATACCGCCCGAAGTGCCCCTCTGCTGGGGCGTCATGGGTCATCTGGAGAACCTCAGCCCGCAGTGGTCCTGGTGGGATGTACAGGCGACCGTGGTGTAGCAGTAGGCCCTGGTGCACAACCAGCCCCAGATACTGAGGGCATGACCCTTCGGCCAGTTCCCGTAGTCGTTTTTGAGCCCAAGTGTCGACCTGTTGCTGTTCCCGCACCTGAGCCCACAGTGGCTCAGCCTCCTGAGCGGCCAGGAACGCGGCCGGTGGTAAAAACGTGGTTGGTACTGCTTACTGTTCCGTGTCTGCGACGTCTTCGGGTTTCCGGGACAGGGTATCTGCCTTCTGGTTTTGGGAGCTAGGGATGTAGCAGATCCGGAACTGGAACCAAGAGAAGAACAGTGCCCACCGCATCTGCCTTTGACTCAACTTGTGGGTGGTTTGCAGGTACTCCAGGTTCCGGTGGTCGGTTCTCACTTCCACCAGATGCCATGCCCCCTCAAGATGATGGTGCCAGACCTCAAAGGCCACCTTGATGGCCAGTAGTTCCCGCTCCCACATGGTATAGTTACGTTCCACCGGAAGGAGCTGGTGGGAATAGTAGGTGCATGGTAACAGTGGTGCATCCGGTCCGTGCTGCTGGGACAAGACGGCACCAAGTGCCGTGCTGGAGGCGTCGGTCTCCACCATGAAGGGTCGAGAGGGATCAGGATGCTGCAGAATTGGCGTCCTCTGGAAACAGGCTTTCAACCCCTGAAACGCCTCCTCAGACTCCTTGTCCCAGGAAAATGGCATCTTGCGCGACAGCAGTCGAGTCAACGGGGTGGTGCGATGAGCATAGCCTGCAATGAAGGTCCGGTAATAGTTGGTGAACCCCAGGAACCGCTGTAGGTCCTTGCGGTTCCGGGGTGCCGCCCACTCCTGAACTGCAGCCACCTTCCCAGGATCCATTTGCACCCCATCTGGAGAGAGTCGGTGACCAAGGAAGTCTACCGACCGCTGATGGAACTCGCACTTGCTAAGCTTAGCATACAGGTGGTGCTCCCACAAGCGCTGCAGCACTGTCCAGACACGCCCCTTGTGGCGAGCCGGGTCACAGGAGAAAATCAGAATGTCATCTAGGTACACGACCACGAATTTGTCTAGCAAGTCCTGGAACACGTGGTTGATGTACCGTTGGAACACAGCGGGCGCATTGCACAAATTGAAAGGCATTACCAGGTATTTGAACTGCCCATACTGGGTCCCGAATGCGGTCTTCCACTCATCCCCAGCTCGGATCCAAATAAAATTGTAGCCCCCCCCCCGGAGGTCTAGCTTGGTGAACACCTGCGCCCCTTGCACCCACTCCAGCAACTCCAAGATAAGGGGCAAGGGATACTGGTCTGGGATAGTAATCTTGTTCAGGGCCCGCTAGTCATAGCAAAGATGAAGCTCCCTACACGTCTTCTTAACGAAGAGCACTGGAGCGGCGGTGGGCGAGGTGGAAGGCCGAATGAACCCACGCTCCAGGTTCTTGCGAAGGAAGTCCTGCAAAGCTTCACGCTCCGGCTTTGTAAGAGTATAGGTGACTCACAGGCAGGGGCGCCCTGGGCTGGAGGTCTATGCTGCAGTCGAAAGATTGATGGGGCGGCAGCTGGTCTGCCCCCTGTTCCTCAAACACGTCTTGGTAGTCCTGGTAAACAGCAGGGAGCGTTGACGCAGCCTCCGGGGGGGGGCGCTAGTATCTCGGACCGAGCATGGGGACACGGGTCTGGGAAGTGCACAGTCTGACTGACCCAGTCGATCTGAACACTGTGAGACTCAGCCAGTCCATCCTGAGCACCAGGGGAAACCGGGGCATGGTAGCAATGTCCAAAGTTCGCACCTCCTGGGGCTGCTGGTGACACAGAACCAAGGGCTGGGTCTCCTGAGTAACGGTGCCCAAGCGCAGGAGCCTTCCGTCAATTGCCTCCACCTGTACCGGTTCCGACTTATCCTGGAGTGGCACCTGATGATGGGCGGCAAAGGCAGAGTCCATATACAAGCGGGTTGCCCCTGAATCCACCAGAGCATGGGTGAGAATCCAGGGCCCGCCAGGGGGGTATAGGATCACCAGAACCATGAGGTGTCGCAATTCCACCACTGAGGACCCCCTTTGCATGGTTTGGGACACCAAGTGGCCAGGGCCTTCGGCTACCGGGGTTGGTGGTTTCCCTGCAGCCGGCATCTTCTCGGGACAGGATCGGGTGTAATGTCCACTTCCACCGCAGTAGAGACACAGGTTCCCCTCCTGATGCCGCATCTTGTCCGAGGGGGAGAGGCGAGGCCGCGCTGTCCCGAGCTGCGTTGGCTCGTCCGGCAACTTGGCTGTGGCCGTGGACCTGCTGGGAAGGACTGGAGCCAGAAGCTGGGAGTGCTGCCGGTCCCGGGCCTGGCGACGGTCCTCCAACCGATCGTCTATCTGCAGGCTCTGCTGAATGAGGGTGTCCAGCGTGGTGGGACGATCCATCGTGACCAGCTGGTCCAGTATCTCATCCGAAAGCCCCTCGAGATACTGGTCCCAAAGTGCAGAGTCATTCCAGGACAAGTCCTGCGCCAACAGCTGAAATTCTGTGGTGTAGGCGGCAGCTGTGGACTTGTCCTGTTTCAACTGACGAATCACCCAATTGGCTTGCCTCGCCTTCAGAGGGTTGCCAAACACAGTCTCCAAGTGGTTACAAAACCCCACATAGTGAGTCAGCAAAGGAGAGTCTTGCCGGAGCAGCGGCAAAGCCCACTTGGCCGCCTGGTCCTTCAGCAAGCTGATCAAGAAGTGCACCTTGGTGCGATTGTCAGGAAAATTCCGGGCTCGCCCCCGAATGTACAGCTTGGCCTGGGCAAGGAACATGGAAAAGCTGGCCGGGGACCCATCAAATTTCTCTGGCAGGGCTACTGGGTACTTGCCAGAAACTGGGGCCTCGGCAGCAGGAGCTGGTAAGGCATCCAATGCTGCTGAAGCGCCGTAACTGCGTTGCTAAGCTGCTGCACAGTGTGGGACAAGGCCTGGTTTTCCTTGGCCAATGCCCACAGCACAGCCGCCTGGTCAGCCATGGCTTCTAGTTCTTCCCAAACGCACCCCAACGAAGGGGGAGTGCGGGTGTGATGGGAGCAAACTGTACTGGTCCCGGGGGGTGTGTGTTACTGTGCTGCGTGGTCTAAGTCCGGTCCTAGGTCGAGGGTATGGAGGCTGTCCGTCAGGGGCAAAGTGAGGTCCAAAGCGAGGAGTCGGGCGTGGTCAGGAACTCTGGCAGGAGAGCAGGTCAGGGTGCCAGCAGGAACAGGTTACCAACGATGTTGCTCCCACAACCTGGGACTGGGCGGGCTGGCCTTTATTTCCTCTGAGGCATAGGGCGGCCCTGGTCCACAGGTGACTCGCCCCTCCTGGCCTGGAGGCGAGCACTCCTCCAGCAAGAACTTAGTTCCCTCCGCCTCTCTGCCCTGAGCCTCTGCAGCTCAGGAGAGGCTGGAGGGTTACTGGACCCAGAGGCAACCTCACCTTCCCCTGACAGGGCTGGGAGAGGAGCACCTGCAGGCAATGGGTCCTCGATCACCTCCGGAGCCAGAGTAGATTCAGCTGGTGTCTGCTCCTGATGATCCAGCACAGGTGAGGGCCCTTCCGGTTCAAGCCCCTGCCCTGGCTCAGCCAGCCCTGGAGGTGGGGACTCCTGTGCAGGCTGGGATTCCTCAGGTTCAGCCTCTGAATCAGATTCCCAAGCCATCACAACAAAGGATGGGTATTCCTACTCCCATTTCTCTAGCAGGGGATGGATAATTTTGTCTCTCATCCCCTACTTTGGGAGATGGAGGCCAGCTTGCCCAGGATGAAAGGAAGGAGGTATTCAGACCATTCTTAAACAGACTTCCCGCCGCCTTTGAGAATTAGATTGGGTGAGGGACCTAGTGCTATATGAATTATTATAATCTTAC